TCTTTTCTTTTTTTTAGCTTCGTCCAATGACTGATCTACATCCTCCTGTAACTCAAACTTTGTCAACACCACGACCGTCACGAAGAGACGCTCCTCATTACTTATTAGATTATGGAAACAACGATTTGAAAATTGTACCTGCTTCCGGATGTACAACTGTTTCAACTGACGAATTTGACGTAAATGATGGTGCACAATTAATATCGTACAAACATCGACATGATTTAATAAATGTTTTTAGTGATGAGTTTTTTCGTAGTGCTTCGAGTTTTGTGGGTGTGGAATTCCGATTATTGGATTTTATGCCACTAATGAAGAAAGAGATCTCGAACAGCCGTTTTTTAAAAAATTGTTTGCAAAAATGTTGGTAGTAGTCGTTGCAGGACATTTCTTCGCAACACTCGGTTCGCCACCACTGAATTTTGTTCTGCTCAACTTTAGGTACTAAAAAACAATGTCAAAAGGAACGAAAAAAAATATTAAACTTGACATCCAGCTTTATTTACGAAGAACCAATTGCAACAAGGAATGAAAACACACAAGCCGTTCAGACACAACTTAAATGTAAGGTGCAGCTAATGCAAAAATGCAGGGAAAATTTTCCGTTTTCTTCAGATGGTGAATTTTTGTGAAAAATGCGAAAATCGCGAAATTCATCCATTTTATCATTTCTTTTATATCCCACAACTATGTTTTTCGGATTCGCCATGAAAAACTACATCTAGAAAATATATTTCTCTACTGAAGCTCACACACTTACTGAGAGAATTTGAAAATGAAGAAATTATTATAGTCATTATCTTAGCATGCAACAACCTCAATATGCTGGAAGCTCTTTTAGCTCATCAACAATTTATTTGCTTGCAGAATTTTATTCTGAAATGTTTACCATCTGTTCAAAAGTGTTTTTTACTCTGTATTAATCCATACACATTGATTTTTGCACTCAGCTGCCTATAAATTATACCTAATATTTTTCTTTCAGTATTCACATACAAAGTTAGAGAAAAAACAACACTGAATTAAACTTTTGGTAAACGTCGCATTTCATAAGCAAGCCACAACGTTAACGATAAAAGCGTCAATGAACCCATTTGATGTGAAGCTGCTAAAGATGTTGGAACATAGTACAAAACTGTCGATATACCCAATGTTGCTTGAATTAGAACCATGGCTGCTACTAAATTTCGTGCCATGGCTGCACGACGTCCAAAACCTTTTCCACGTGACATAAATGCAAACGCCATGACAGCTGCTGTTGTTGTGATACCTAATACACGATGATTAAATTGTACAGCAGCCGGGTTTTCAAATAGATTTTTGTACCATGGTTTTAGATGATTATATTCGACTGGTATCCAGTGATCACCCATTTTAGGAAATGTATTATAAACGAGACCAGCATCAAGTCCCGCAACAAATGCACCAGCAACAGCTGTTATGAATACTAACGTTAGCAGACCATGCACCCTCATACCCCATATTTTGGAGACAACTTGTCGTTCAGATGGAAATAAATAGCGAAAACTGTTCCATAGAAATCCGCTATACAAGATAAAGGCTGTCCCCAAATGTGCTGCTAAACGATAAGGTGATACTCGTGGATAATTATCGATTAATGTTTCATTTTTAAGACCTGATTTTACCATGTACCAACCGAGTGCACCTTGAAAACCAATTAATGCACCAAACACAATTGATCGAATTTTAAGTCCTTTGTCAAAATATCGACGTTGCCAAAAATAAACAGCAGGAATAAAAAATACCAGACCAGTGAGACGACCCCACATACGATGAAGATACTCCATATAATAGATTCGCTTAAATTCATTTAATGTAATACGACGATTTATCAACTGATATTCGGGAAATTGTTTATAGCGTTCAAATTCTTTATCCCATTCTTCTTGTGTACGTGGTGGTTTCATATCGCGTATCAATCGCCAATCAGTCATTGATAAACCACTTTCCGTTAGACGTGTCAGACCACCTAATAAAACGGCACCGGCAGTCATCCCGGAACAAGCCGCAAACCAGTATCCAAGACGTCGCTGATATCGTACTGGAAGATGAGAGGATGAAACTGGCACACTATTAGCTAAAAAATGCTAACACTCAGGACACCGAATGAATAAGACAAAGTCAATCGCTTACCACTGATATTGGCTGCTTCATTGATAACTTTCGTTGTATTTGGTCTTTTGAATATGATAATATCATCAACTTTTCTAAATTTTTTATCTAACAGAGGCGAACGTAGCCGCTGCCTTAAACCATTTAATAAAAATCTAGAGTACATAACTTTAAACGACACCTGAATGCTTTGAGCCATTTTTACGCTTCCCAAACAACTCAAAAAAGTAAAAAAACGATGTCATCCTGAATAGTACATTACGTATTTTTATTTTTTGATCACGTAGATCTTCAGAATAAATGAAATAGCTCGTAGATAGCAAAGAAAATAAAAGAAAACTTTACAATAGCGACGATATTAAATCTGATTTAAAAAAACGAATGAACTGAGTGTCCACAATGGAAACGAACAAATTATATAATAGAAAACAGTATCTTTATGTATTTATACTTGAATCTGTTTTTACGGTATCTGTCACTTCTTCTTAATCCTTGTTAACAGTTTCATACTCTTGCTGACCATCTTTCTCCTCATTACTAGCATCAGTTTCATCTTGATTGCCTCCAGGAACCCATAATCCACTTTTGACACAACGATCTAGATGGTAAGCAGCTTGGTCTCTAGGTAATTTTGATATAACATCTTGTAGCATTGTAATATCACGTGATTTAAAACATTCTTGCATTTCCTAAAATAAACATACAATAATCAGCTTGTAAAATTTTATTTTATTCTCAATTCTACTCACAGCTGGTAAAGTATCCATAACTTCGACTGGATCTAAACCACCTGGACCAAGACGTTTTTGTCGCTCTTCCTATAAAAAAATAAAATTTTTTGTCGATAAATGTGGTCAGTTGTTCATCTGAGAAGAGATGAAAAGACCAGAGATGCAGAATCTGCCTGTAAAAATGAAAACTTTTCCTTCGACGAGAAAATTTCTAGAAAACTCTCCAGTAACGTCAGAATATTTTCTTCTGCAATTTATTTGAGCCAAAATGCTATTTTTTAAAGTTTTCCTGTGATATTTTTTCGAATCTAAACATTTTTATTGTATCTCTCACATTTAGATGCAAGCGTTTATTAATCCAGTCCTTTTCCGAGTTAGTATCAACATGAACATTTGGAAAACGCTTACTTCTTCGTATTGTGCCAGTGCTTCCTCCACTTTTTGCGCAGCTCGTTTTTTTATACGATCTTTAAACGCGTTTAATTCATCAAAAAATGCATCTTTATATTGTTTATCAGCTGTTTTCATTCTAAAACAAATCAGTTGAAATAGTAGAATTGCATATAAAATATTACTGCAATTAAAAGAAAAATAGCAATAGTAAGACTAATCTCTCTTTCCAAATGATCTTTTTTTTAATACTCGTATTGCTTACCTTTGAAAAAACGGTTTGACACATTGACGTGGATCATATTGTAAACTTTTGGCTAATTCAAGTATAAACTGCATAATCATTGTTTGATGGCTGACATGTTCCATTAATGGATGTTTCTACATACGTTAAATCCAACTAATTACTCTGCAGATTTTGCAAACTAGAAAAAATATCTTACTTCTTCCATTTCCAAATCAATACACCAGACAACAAGATAATTTGCCGTTTCTTCGCAAACAAGATCTAAATGTTCTTCTAAAAATCTTTGTGAATCATCATAATGTTTGAACATGCCATATGCTTTGATATCTTTCTTATGTTTTTCAACAAATTCTTTCTGAATATAAAATACATAAACCAATGATAGTGAATATGAGATAATAATATTGTTGAACATACATAATATTGTGCTTGTTCTTCTTCCGTCATATTCGCTGGTTTTTTACTAGGTTTATCCTTGTTGATTAAAGTTTTTGATGCTGTCACTTGGCCAATTGTATCAACATTCCATGGTGTTAAACGTTCTTTTTTATGCAGTTCAGCTTCCTCATCTTGCCATTTTTTTTCATCACGATCCAATTCTTCTTGTTCTTTTTCATAAGCTACTACATTACCACCATCCTAACATGTTAAAAACCAAATTTATCGATTAGAAATAACTGCGTCTCAAATTATATACGTACTTGTGAAGCTTTTTTTACTTTTTCGTTCAAATTTTTTCGTCGTTGATCAAGTCTGAAAAAACGGACAGATATATCGTTCATATAGCATATGTATCTGCAATCTAAATACAAGCAATCACTTACTCTTTACGTTTTTGCTCATGCTCTTTTTTTGTTTTTTCTGCTTCTTCCATACGTTCAACACGTGCCGTGTGACGCCAACGAAATAAACTGGGTGTATCGATGTTTGGATGCGTATCATCTTCATCATCAGATACCTGAAAAACGTAAAGTACATGAATACTAAAGTTTTCATTTAAAATATTTAGTAATATCTGCCTCAATTGTTTTCCATTTGGCATAATTTAATGCCGACATCTCTGTAATTGTTCAAATATGAGAGACTGTAGAAAAAGGCTTTAAATCTAGAATATACATAATAATAAAGAATCAAGAATAGGAAATAGCATTGTTCAGATACAAATTTGAACATCAACTACAAGATTATATCTCTCGTCATTCAAGTATAAAAGTATTTAGCAGCCAAGGCAATAATTCCTATGTTTTAATGATCAGTTAGCTTCGTCTGTACTTGTATCTATCAAAAGAAAAAATATCACTTTTATAGCTGCACATTTTATTGAATAATACACAATTACAGAAGAAAAACAGTTTGGTGAAAGAAATTATAAAAAATTATTTAGATAACACATTAAAAAACAATCATTAGATTGTAGTTAAACATAGTGAAGCAGCACGTCTCACAAAATCTTCCTTTCTAGAATACTTTTGTGTAACGAACAACTAACACTGATTAACACAAACATAAATATTCCGAAACTCAAAAAGAAATTTTATGTAGTGACTCACTCTGATGCACGAAATTTCTTTCTACGAAACTTCCGAAACCCGTAGGTTTGATAGCAAATTTAAACATAAGCAAAAAACAATTGGCACTTACATACTGATTGCCTAAAATTTTTCAAATATAATATCGGGCGACACATACAGATGTAGTGGATAAAAATTATAATGAATTCTTCAAACAACGATCTCTAGTCATGGAAGATGAATAAAGAAATCTAAGTTGTCGGCTAACAAGAGCTTTTGGCGTAAAACCCATTCTTCCACGAACAATTGATAAGAAATGTACACTGACAAAGTACCAGTTCTGATGTGTTATTATTCAAAAGTTTGGGATATACAACTTCAGTACATTAAATATTTCTGAATTAGTAATGGTAATTTAAAATAATTCTGATGGTATTAATACAATTCGGAGCATAGTAACCTCTACCACTGGATAGAGGAAACAGTTCTCTTAAAAATGACAGGTCTCAGGAGTTTGTACAATGGATGGTTCGTAAGATATGACAATTTCAAACTATGCAGTGAATCGTACATTTTTAAGCTCTTCTTGTTATCTATCTACCACCTATTCAGCTAAGTGATATTTTGGGTCCTCACAGACTTTTCAACAAGAATTCTAAATAAGAAAGCCCGATAGAGTACATTCAATTATCGATAAAGATGAAGAAATAAACTGGGTTCACGTTTCATTTGAGCTTTATTGATTTTGCCATACGACGGTTTTTGAATGAACTCTAATAAACTTGAGACTCACTGAATAGTTTGAAATTGTCATATCTTACGAACCATCCATTGTACAAACTCCTGAGACCTGTCATTTTGAAGAGAACTGTTTCCTCTATCCAGTGGTAGAGGTTACTATGCTCCGAGTTGTATCAATACCATCAGAATTATTTTAAATTATCATTACTAATTAAGAAATATTTAATGTACTGAAGTTATAATCCCAAACTAGTGAATAATGGTTCTTGTAGACCTCGAAGGGCACTATCGAATGAAACCATTTTCAAGCTTATCGGTTCGGCTGACTGGAAGAACAAGCATTTTCAACTTTAGACTGTTATTTCTCACTTAAAATACTCACCAATTCTACTGTAATAAACATTTAATAATTTCAACGCCATCATCATTAAATAAAGCTCGTTTCAGAGTATATGTGGCGGCAAAATCTTAATTCTATCTCATGTAGTTACGGAGAAAATTTATTTTTATTCTTATAGACTACCCAAAACTTTCCGCCTTTTTTGTAGCGACACCTACTTTTAAAATGCATGCACCCATTGACCGAAACATTTGTTTGAGCTGAGACCTGCAGGCTATTCGTGTCTAGTCTAGATCTACATACTGTATTGGTTTCATCAAAATCGGTGATAGTCGTGGAACATCGTCTGTCATAGTTCTCATGCAATGATTCCTAACGGGTCCGCCGCCTACGATAGTTTATCATTACTAATTAGAATTTTTGTGGTATCCTTAACTAATCCTGTTTTTGATGGTATTTTCTGATATTCTTACTGTTTAGCTTACTTTCACAGCCCAATTTTTGCATTATGAAAGTAAACTAAAAAAATGAAAAAGAATGTCAACAGAATATATCATTTTGCCACCCAAGCACTTACCATGCGTTGAACTTGTATTCACATAATACAAACGAATATAGTAGCAGCAACTGTAAATGAATACGATTTTATTATACAATTAATTAGTTCATTCTTCTTCTGAAATGAATCAAAAATGATGAAAGAAAGACGCAACAAGGATTAATCATGTGCAAAATACTATTTGTTTCGAATAGATCCTTACTAGAGAACGAAAAGAATTCATATTTTGGATGCTATTTAAAATACACGAAAAGTTTTCCAATCTAAGAGTTAAAAATATCTCGACAGATAGCATTATTTTGCATTCTTATATAGTGTAGAAAAACAATCGATTATTATCGACTTTATCATTTATTTCTTTTCATTTTCCTGTTTCATCGCAAAATAATATAAAATGCTATAACAATAAACGATTGCTCTAAGAACATTAAAAATGAAGTAGATTTTGTCTAAAAGAAAGAAATAATCAACAATTTTCGAGAAAAACCTACAACTGAACAATAAACGCTGTTTCTTGTCCTACTTGCATGAATAGTGAAGAACATTCTTTTGAAAGACAAAAACAATTGATAGCGAGACTATAGTGGTAGATGAGAGAGAAAGAAAAAGAACAAACAACTGAAGAAAATAGTTTTATTTCATTTACCGTCCAGTTACTCCTAATTTTGGGTCTGTTCTAGGATCAGCTACAATTGACTGAACAGCTACAATTGCTTCGTTAATCTTTGTTTGTAACAGACGAAGATCTTGGATATATAATAAACGCAAAATTTTTGCTGCTTCATTAATGATAGCGTCTAGAAAAATAAAACACAGTCATACCTGAAAAAAAAACACCTTAAACAATTTCACACTTACCACCAGTGTCAAAACCCAAAGATATTTTATCGACTGAAAAATCCACGCCAGAACCCTTTAAAAATTAGAAAAAAGGAATAACATAAAACGATGAAGAAAAAATGATAGCAGCACTCACATGTTCTTTAATTTTTTCTTTTTCCATTGCTTCTTTTGAAAGTTTCTTAGTTATTATTTTACTTACAGCCTAAAATACAAAAATATATCGAAGATGTTCCTAATTTATATAATTAAAAGTAATTTCACGTACATACTCTTAAAACAGCAGTTGTATCATTAAATTTTGGTGGTATTTCTAAAATATCACATAATCTTTCCATACCTTTCTTAAATTCTTGACTTGTAACTAAAAACGGTGAGACAACATTGAACAGTGTTTATCTTGTACAAGATACAACAGAAAAGTTAGAACCAATTTGATTCTCCACGTACAAATTTGAACTGAGGCTTAGTGTTTTTTTCGTTATCGAAATTTATCTATTTTCGTGTCGTGTTTGAGTTTTTCTTCGAAAATTTTTGTTTTATTTTTGCTACTTACAATCAATATTATCTAATGGATTTTCTTTCTTGAATTTGCCACTGTCACCGTTCGTTGTCACTTCATTAACAGATGTAACAGATTTGAATTTGTCAACTAAATCAAAATCAAAACCTCTACTCTGAATAACCAACCTTTAGAAATGAGTAATTTCGTTGACTGGAAATGGTCTTACTAATAGCTGTATGCAGGTAAAGATATTGTATAGAAGGTCTATGTCTTTAAACTCAGTTAGCCTGAATTCTGTGCGGTTTAGACCGAGTTTGGTGTCTAAATGTGTATATGGAGTTGATTTCTATGTGAGATTACATAGAAATATTACCTCTTAGATATGCATGGATGTTTGAAAAAGATTTTAACGTAAGGACTACGTTTCAATTGTTATTCGTATTATTCTGTATAATGTCAAACCTACAGGACATGATCTAGACTCTTACGAAAACGAAAGTGGATTAATTGCCGAAATAAAAAGGACCATCACAGGTTTTTATCCTGATTTCGAAGAAAGATGTTTACATGTATCGTGAACTTGAAAACACCATAAAACAAGATTATTTACGTGCTCCTCCACCCATGTAAACCTAACGAAGTCTCCCATTGAAATATAACGAGAAACGAGCAAATTGTGATTATGAACATAAAAGATCTCACTGATGGCGATTAAAATATCTTTCTTTCGTTTGTTTCACACATCGGAAGGCATATCAGTTGCTTTTTACATCCAAATACACAGTAAATATCTAACTCGATCCAATAACATTCTTAGTTAGACGGATAAAGGATCCAACCTTTACCTTCTGTATAAAATAGAAGAATTGTTATATTATTTTTTCCGTTTTCACGATTTTTGATCAGAAACGATATATGTTTTCCAATCATTTTTTTCTGACAACCGATTCTCGTGCTCTGCGTCGTCAAGTTTGAACTAGTCGCGTGCGAAAGTATAACTTTCAACCCTGATTTCTATTCAGACTACTGAGAATCTCCGCAGTAATCAGTTCGTGAAATAGAAAAAAGTTCAACTAGCCTCGGTGAAGCCTACCAACTCAACTCACAAAATCGAATAATAATTATTTATTCTTTTTATAATTCGTTTTTCTCAAAACGAGTCAGTTTGCAACAACCTTAGATAATGATTTAATCAATTATATGTAGGCTATTTTTCGAAGATGTCTCACGACCGGTCAAAAACTAAATACTTGCTTTGCTTATTCCACGTAGTATATATCAATTAGCAACTATGCTCTCTACACATAGACAATAGACCGTGTAAGGTATAGAAGCTACTTGTTTTTTCAGATAATTAATTTGGTTTAACACGAAGGGAATTACCCTAATCGAGATCGCTGCCTCGAGATAATAGTGGAAGATTCTGCATTTCTGCCGAGAACGTACTATTGTCACCAAATTCTAGTCGAATTGCTAAACCAATTAGCCAATCGCTGATAATTGCACGATCATTTATATCGTTATATGGATATTTCAGATCTTGCAAATACTGAAATCAAATAATAGTCTGAAAATATTTTATCTCATTCTTTGAGTAATTTAACTTACCTTCTGATATGCATCGTTCCATTGTGGATTTCGCACATTTCTCAAATTTTGTCGATCATCCACCAAGTATAAACGAATCTTCATATCTTCTAACCATATTACCATATTACGAAAGTCATTTTCGTCTACAAAGAAACGTACTATACAGTGTTTCTAATGCATTTTCTTGCATAGTGTACGTGCACATCCTATTTTTTCAGCCGCAGTGAGTCGATAGACTGTTTTTACTACAAAGTGTAAACGTTCTAGAAGTATTACAGCACTTAAGAATAAGACCGTCATAATATTACATGCGATGTTTTTGGAAAAACAATGAGTCATTAGACAATCAGAAGTTTTTACAGAAAAAAACTCATAAATCTTTTTTATAACAAGAGGTATCGCGAGGGTAAAGGTAATTTATCTGTATTCTCGAGGAATATCACATATTTGTAAAGAAAAACAGAGTATAAGTGGTGCACTCTGTGATTAGAACTAAATGATTGAACAAACAAATGCAGTACCTTGCGGATTATAATTTTTGAAATAATCGAGAGCAATCAGTTTACGGTTATGCATCTAAAACAAACAGAGTATATCAGTAAATGAAAAGTTGACTTTCTGTAGAAGACCGCTATTCACTAAGATGCAAGGATAGCCGAGAAATAATAACTAAGCATTTCATACTTTTATCTAACTGAAAATGCAATTCCCGTGACTTTAAGGAAAGATCTAGAAAATTAATTGTGTGTCTGTTAGGATGAGGACTGAGTTTAGTCCTAGCTAAACATCCTTCTTTTATTTCGTTGATTGGAACTCTAAGATGGAAGTATGGAATAAAATTGTTAGGATAAGTTAGGCACAAACAGAGATCAGTGCAAAGGCCTTGTTCAGACAAGAAAAGTTAGCTTTGTGATAAGGAAGCTGATTGGCTTGAAAGTTAACTCAATCATACCGCTTGTAAAAGAACAAATAAAAAGCATCATTTGAACCACTATAAAGTAGTCTACAGTACTCGATTTTAGACAGATCAAAAACTACACATCCATCTTCGTTTAATATAATACAGCTGCACTCTGATTCAGATACATGTGTAATCGCAAGTCAAAGCTAAACCTCTGCTGATGCCATAAGAACCGGTGACAGGAGCACAAATAATGAAAGATGTTGTCCTTGTTCTGTTGGTGAAGATAAGTCATCACTAAATCGCTGCCGTCAACGTCAAAACACGTAGAATCTGGCGACTTGGTGATAGGATTTGGCGATGACTTATCTTCAACTGTTCTGTTTTGGGTTTTGTTCTGACAATAAAGAGTAAAGCTGACAAAAGCTCATTGTAATCTTCGTCTAAATTTGATTTGAAAGAGTTTCTAAATTTTGGAAAAAGTAGCCAGTGTTTTTTAATAGGAATTTTTTTCAGAATAGAACTTTCCACTTTGCTGTTAACGTCAAAGTGAGATTTTCCACTTTGGTCTAAAATGTAAAGTGGACAAACGGAAACAGCACAAAATTTCTTCCAATAACGGCTAGAAGAGAACCTTTTTATCGTCTCGATAGTTTTGTTTTACCACGTTCAGTTAAATGGACGAAATTAACTTCTCTATCGCCTCAGTAATAAGAAATTCATATGATCTGTTGTGATGTTTGTAATATTGTTATTCCATTGACTAAAACGACAGAATTCTACAGGTAATTTCGATCCGGAAGGGATTTTTATTGCAATACGTGAATTAAGTCGAAACAACTTTCATATAATATTATTGAATATCTGGGATATTTGGCAGCAAAGTAGAAAACAAAGTGGAATATATTTTTTGCTCAGCGGAAAACACAGTGAAAATTCATTTTGCTCTCGCTTGTCCACTAATCATTAAAAACACTGAAAGTAGCCTGCAAAAGTTGAATACAGAAAAAGGTGTTGCTCTGCTTCGATTCTCTCTTAGTCTTGTTTAAAATGCCACTCAAACATTTAGGAAAGGAAATACAGACTAAAAGCTCAGAGGTTCAAGCAAAAATAATGGTAGTGGTGATGCTCCGACACGGGAGCAACAAACGACAAATGATAACTTCAAATGCACAAGCAAATTCGCATGAAAACGTTCTTTTTTGCTTTATTATTTAAATGTAATTTATGCATCTGCATGACTAATAATTCAGATAAGCTGCTTTTCGGTAAAATGTTTAAAGCTTTCTCAATAGTGCTTTGTGATTCCTTTCTCTAAGACTAGTACATGGACTATACACGGAAAGTGAGAGTCATCAAAGATCTCCGACCTGTAATGTCAATGACTCGAGCCAAACTACAAAAATGAAAGAAAAAGAAATAACAGAGATAAACAAAAAAAAAGGAACTAAAGTATGCAATATAGAGAATTCTTTGTATTTAGCGCCAGCTCAAAGTGATACGTATCGTTTAGCCGTCAAATATTCTTACTCCGTTTCTCTCTACTAACCGTAATAACGTAGTGTCGTAGAACGAGCTTTTGGTCAGCTAAAAATCGATTTTGTATTATTCATAAAAAATTAGAATATAATATTTATAATATTGACAAAACAGTGAAGGGCCAAGAGAGTTAGAATGATGAACGTTACTTGTTTACTAACTCCCGATAAACACAAAATCCAATTTTTTTTTAATCATATATAGTGATAAAACGTGGAAAAGAAAGCATTCTATCATACAACTGTAGTCAAAGGACCAAATATTTGTAGCAATGCATATAGTTACGGCAGGGCGCCAGAAACGAACATCAAACGACAAGTGGCACTGTACCGATGATAACAAATACAATCAGGATCATCCAAAAAAAACTCAGAGAAACTGTTCAATGTACGTTGACTATGAATTTAAGAAACAAACTTTCCTCCTACTGAAAATTAATAGTTTTCAAAAGCACGAAAATCGTTCGTTCCTCAGTAGGGGCAACATTGTAAATAATGATATATCGTCTACGTCTAAATATAGCTAAGTGAGTGTACTACAATTTACACAACTTTTCGCACATTTTTTCACGAAAAGTTTGTTGCTTTTGATGCAGCTTCGCTCATCTATGTATGAAATGTATGTAGAGCATAGGTGCTTAACTTTATTATCCTCTTCCATGAAACAGTTCCTTCTTTGAAAAAGTGAAGAAATATGCGTAAAAAAATATACGAATATAAATAACAAAGATATACTTATATATTCTGGTTCTATGACGAATAAAACACGCAGAACACAATACGACAGCCAAAAATCACCTGAAAAAAAAATATAATATAAAAAAAGTGTAAAAAACTAATCTAACTTACTATGAGACAAATGATAAATTTACCATCTAAATACAGGTTTTCATAACAGCAACAAGAGATCTAATGCAATATCAATCTATGTGATAAATAAACGCAAAACTACCATCTCGATTCGAAGATTTTTTACAAAGAGAGATAAACGCATAAAGTTTCAGAGGTAGTAAAATAAATTAGACTATGTGAAAAAAAGAACTAATATACAAAAATGAACCAAATGAATATACAGTGAATGAAAAATATAACGTTTACTCTATATAAAATTTCTTTACTAGCTTAGCGTCAGATATAAAATAAACAGAAACAGCCGCTAGACATAAAGGAATAAACATTGCTATTTGTAAATAATTAATATCTTTTACGTCTTTTTCTTCGTTTTGATTCATATTGTTGCAAGGATGTGTTATTGTCATCGTTATCTCCTGTTGTCTCTTGTAATAATATCATTTCTAAGTTTTTAAGACGTTCTTCCATTTGTTGTTGTTGTTTATCACAATCATTCGTTGACTTTAATGTTAAATTTTCGATTGACAGATCCTCTATTTGTTTTTTATTTTCTTCAATTTGAGCTTTTAAGTTTTCGTTTTCTTTGCGTAAAGTCTCTTTATCTTCTAACAGACCTAGAGAAAACAATTTTATTCGATGCTAAAATAACAGCGTATCAAACTAAAGTACTCACGTTTTCTATCATTTTTATAGAACAGCACGTTTTCTTCAAACTGATCAATAACTACTTTAGCTTCCATTAATTTTTTTGTAGTTGAATCAATATTTTGTTCATATTGATCAATAATTTTCTTATGTTCTAATATAATTGAATCGATTTTATCTGATTGTTCTTTGCTTTCATGTTGTATAAAGACTCGTTCTGTTTGTTTTTGTTCAAGAAGTTTTTCTAAACGTTCTTTATCTAAAATCAAATTGTTAATTTGAAGTTGTAATTTTAAATTTTCATTTTTCAATTCGTATTCATCATTTAGATGTTCATCTTTCGACGATTCGATTTCAAGTTCGTATTTATTACATTGTACGATGTTATTCTCTAAAGTATGTTCAGATTTGTTTAATGAATTATTGACATCGTTTATATTTACATTTGAAGATATTTTAGATGAAAGTGTTGATTCTGAACGATGATGATCGATAACTGATGTCGTTGTTTGTTGAGTGTTGGGTGACGACATTGTAGATTTTCGTCCACGATGAATTTCCATAAGTACACCATCAATTGTATGTGGTACATTAAGAAGAATTTTATCGACAATATCAAAATGATTAAATCTGAGACGAAAATAATCAAAACCAGTAGATCTACTATTGCCTTTCACTAGACTGACTAGAATACCATATCGATTTGAAAAATACTTTTTAATTGTCGTTTCATTCAGTTTATATTCAGAGACACGTAACGATATCTCTGTTGAATCTTCCGTTTTGTTAAACTGTCGATAACGTCGAACAATAATTTCTCGATCCTTTATTCGATGATATTGAGTGGACATAATCTGATCAATTACAGAAACATTTTCAAATGTAAGTGTGGCAGTATTTTGACTATATTTGACATTTACAAGGCGTCCGTAATTTTTTGAAAAATAATTTTCTAAATCAGAATGAGTAATAAGGGAATTAATGTGAGAAACAAAAACCTGGCAATCTTTTTTTAAATCCATATAACATTTATTAACATCAAAACGAAGATCTAAAAATAATTTAGAAAGTATTATTTCGTGTTCCAAATATTTACTTACTTTAATCGAAGAGTAGGTTTTTCGAGAGATAAGACAAATGAGACACAGAATCTAGATTGCATAAGAAACTTTCATAGGACGTCCGCTACAGATATCGGATGCACTAAACTTGCACTTCTAATAAAGCAGAAAAAGCACTCTGCTCGAGAAATCGACTCTAAAATATACGAAGCTTTTTATTAGTTCAGGATTTGAGATCGAAAAAAAAACGCGAAATCCTTCTAAGATGAATTGCTGTTCCTAAGAAGTTAACATCTTGCAAAAACTGAAAACTGCTTTTTATTTTATAACGATTGAATTAGTAGTTTATCACTTTGTTGCGTTTGGGAAGGGGGGGTACCAACCCCCTGCTTTCAGAAAGTTTCTGCTTTTTGTCTTTCGTTCTTCAAAAAACCATTTTTTTAATATTCTTTTATCGTCAAGGTGTTTCGTTTTATCACTTTCAGTTAAATGGACCGAAATTAACTTCTCCACCCTGATCAATTACAAATTTAACAACAAACATTTTAGATGTTTCATCTAAAACAGAATCTAACTAAAAGAATAGCGCAAGTTGAACACTTCTGACGGAAAAGAAACACTGCAAAACTTTTATAAGTTTAGATAGAAGTTACAAATCCTTTTTGACTAATATCTTGTTGATGTTAATCTTCAGATACCAGCCATGCTCTATTGTGATGAAAATTAGAGAATTAAACAGAAATTATACTGGTTCTCTCGCTCACATGTGTTCAACAAACAGATTGATGGGTTAGTTTTCTGAGGCAGAAAATATGAAAAAAAGAAAAGGTAGAAACTCTTAAAAGTAAAGTGGAAAACAAAGTGGGATATACTTTTCTCAGCGTGGAAAACAGAATGAAAAATCATTATTGATAGTGAAAACCCATTTTGCTTTTACTTGTTCCCCTAATCATTAAAAACACGGAGTGCGGCCTTCACGAGTATAAATCACACACCTTTACGATTTTTGTCACGCTAAACTGTTACGTGTTAAGTTAGTTACTGCTGGCGAACGCATCAGTAACGACGTTACATGTAACGGTGAAGATATAGCTTTTGCGATGAATGAAACATTTAAAGGCGTACACTTGTACAGTGCACTCGTATAATCCTACACTTTTTATCGGTCACGTAGACCAATCATCATCATTTCCAACTTGATTGGTCTAACTGACCAATAAAACGTGTGCGACTATACGAGTGCACTGTACGAGTATACGCGTTGATTAAGATACTCTAGGACTGAAAGCTAGACCTAAGTTGTCACAATCAACGTAAACTCACGATGATACTAGCGATATAGGCCAGGGGCCTGTTTCTTAAAAAAACTTAAGTAGAAAATCTTACTTAAGTCAAAAAAGACAAAGACTTTTTTGGACTTAAGTTTGACTTAAGTAAGATTTTCTACTTAAGTTTTTTTAAGAAACAGGCCCCAGTACCTTTCAGTCTAGTGTATCTTGACCGTATCAGTACTCATTTTGATCATTGCCACGTTCAACTAGTAAACTGTGACATACTTTCACACTATTGGTTAAACTTAACCAATGAAAGAGAGCCTACGGCAACGAAAGAGAAACGGTGACGGTATGAGTATCAGTATAGTAAAAATGCTTTTAGCATATATTAAGAAGTTACTTAACGTGATGTCTTGTTTTTATTATGACTTTTAGTAGTTATTAATGTCCTTTCATTAAAACTAGCGATTCATCCTCAATATAGTTTATTTTGGCCTTATGTGATTAGAGCCAAAATGTTTGGTTATTTTGTGTATACTTTCCATTCGTTTTTCATAGAAATAATTTATTCGATGAAGCTTTTGAATTTAAACGTAAAGATTTATTGTACCATCTCGTGTCGATACCAACGACTTACGCCTAAATTCGCGTCTAGTACACCCTGACCTATGCCTTCTTGTTTGAAAGCAAGTGAATGTACGGTATCAAAAGTACACCTATATAGTATCAATTTTGAGGTACTGATGAAAATTTTAAGTACATGTATCTCTTAAGTGTATAAACATACTGATTGGGTACTCAATCACTGAAAAATGTCCAGTACACAAAAGTACCATAGTAGACAGTTTAGTATCTCTCCCTAAACTCTCAACTTATTCGTTGCAAAATCTTTGTCAAAATTCAAGCTATTTGGTTCTAAACTTAAAAGTTCTGTTTTAAAAATATGTTTTACATCGATTCACTAGCTCAGAATCAAAAAGAAAGAAGTCTAAACCGGGTTTTAGTTGTGAAACATCCTCAAGTTTATTATGTCGCCTCTCCCGATTATTTTTTATTAGTTATTACAAAATTACGGGAATCAAGTCATTACAAGCAAAAGATAAAACTTGGACACATAAAAATGGGACAAGGTTTTTCTACACCTTATCTCGAGACCATGAGCCCGGCTCTCTGCAATCATAGAGCTTCTTAGTGAATCGTAGCTTTTGCAGAAGATCTCGTGAAAACAGGAATTATACACCATAGGCGACGGAGTCTACCCTGATTTGGTTTCAAGAGGCTCAGACCACCGTGAAAGTGCATACTGAGACTATAATAATTCGTAGTTTTTTGCAAGTATGACTTGTGCTTAGAAGGAAATTTAAAGAATGATCTAAGAAATTTTGTTTGGAAAACTGATGAGGCTCAGTCGATTCCTAGGAGCTTTGTCGCCTTCAGCAGCGATCGTACACATACAACTTATGTTTTGCAACCAACACATTAGAACTGATACTTTGCCAATGTGCATTTCTTACCAATTGTTCGTGGAAAATGGGCTTTACGCCAGAAACTATTGTTAGCTGCCAACTTAGATTTCTTGTTCGCCAACTGAATAACCTCAAACGAGTTGTCAATACCTGTGAACAACCCCAAAGAAAAAAATCCACCTTTGGCGGCATAAAAATTAAACTTACAGATCTTCGACCGCAGCATCACTGGCTTATTCTGTCTTCGAAAACGCTGAAAAAAGACTAATCGCATGGTCCTCAAAAAGCTCTCTAACGGGCAAGAACAAAAAACGTTTGAACACACTCTCGGTCGAAAGTGTTCCGCTGCCTCTCCTATCCATACTTTTCTCCAATAAGCTGTGATTTTCACCCATGTGAAGATGTTTCATGATATTTGTGACAGAATACCGTTCTTCTCTTGTGGTCTAGTTTTTCTAGTCTTGCGTACGTAGCTAGAGAAAGTGATACAGAGAAATATGCGCACGATTAAACCGACAGATTATGGCCTTGTTGAACTTCTGAGCTTGATGAAAAAGAACTCGCCACTTCAATTTCTGTTATATTGTGGCTTACGGCCGTTTGGTTCATCCATCGTTTTCATAACCTGCCAAAAGATCGCATGTTTTATTTAATAAAATATTTGAAGAAGTAGAGTGGCCCAAGGTTTCTACTAATCAACGAAACGCGAGAAGAAATCCTACGCAATAGTGGCTGAATTACGTGATCAAATCAATTCTTTTATTTAATTTTACATTCTGATAGATTTACTTAATTTCTACATACTAATTTACAGAGACAAATGAATAAAGAGGAAATCATCATAATTCGAATAAAAATTTTTATGTCTTGAGTACGTTTTTCTTTTGCAGAGGGATTTTGTCAGTTTGTGAGGCGGCCTTACATTTTTAATATCAACAGATTAACGGACTGACGACCATTTTTAAATATATCAAGGCTCTTCTTAGATAAAAGGCATTACTGACTAGAAAAAACGAAAATCATTGTGAGCGTAAGACTATTTGTATCTTTTGATTATAAATAGACGATCATCAATATAACAACTTCATGTTCTGCTAATTTATCTCGTTTATCATCTACTGAATAATAATTACATTTGGATACACAACTGTTCATATCAATTCGCCTTGAAAAATTTTTTCTAGAACCTCAGAAGAGTAACAGATACTAGTGAAAGAAAGCCTGTTTCAGTAGCTACGATTTTCAGATTCTTTATTAGTGTTGAAAAATCAACAAACCTAATTACCATATAACTTATTTTGAGGCTGTATCTTCGGAATTTTCATACTTCGCTTTTTAATGCTTTTAAATCTTATCTAAGATCTCTAATTCTTGACTTTACTGTTCAACTACCACATCGAAAACTAGTACATTCATTTCGCGGCGTTAGCCGCTAATGTTAATCATAAATGCTCAGTATTTATGATTAACATGGTCTATACACGATCTGGGCGTTCTGTTACATAAATAAACGAGAGTCAGAGGGATTTTTTGTCAGGAGAAATGAACCTCTCAATATTTGAAAACATTTATTAACTTTTAAAAGCTGGTGAAAATTTTGTGTTTTGACTATTAAAAGCTCTTGAAAAACTCTCATACTACCTTTATGAGAAAACTCTAATAAGGTTAGCCATTAAAAACGGAAACATTGACATCTAGAAGGAGAGCAGAGAAAAACTTTTTCATTCACCTAGAAGAATATTTTTTAAGATATTGTGCTGGATATTTCTAATTCTTTATCACCGTATACCTTTTCTAGTAACAAATCAAAAATGTTCTGTTAGTCTGTCTTTTCGGTCCACAAGCTGGAAGAGCAGTTGTTTTCTCTATTCCGAGTGGAAATGTGTTTAGCAGAAGGAAGATGAAAAAAACGTTGATTAACACAACAGGAGATTTCTATTTCCTTTATTTTCTGTAATTGCCAGCTAATTAGCCGACATATTTAATAAGCAATATAAGTGGATTAAAAAATGGAGAAAAGAATTCAGCCAAGAATAAGATTAAAGACAAACGATTTATTTTTCTAATGTTGATTAGATATATCGTGTTCGTTGAGTAAAATAAAAAAAGGAAGAAGAAGCGGAGTATTTTTCTTCGTTCCACTTCTTCTAGTTTCTCGCATGACAAAGAAAAAAAAGAATAACTATAGTATCTCTATCCCTATTTATCTCGCTATCGTATATACGAAAATCTCTCTTTCATCATGTCTTACAGTTCGACACAAATTAAGCAGAATTCATCGGTTTTTTTCTATTTTTTTTTAGAGAAGAGGTATCAAAAAGGCTGGAGGAAGTAGTATATTGCACATCTCTCTCGCACACAACGAAAAAGATGAGGATCTCATTGGGAATGCAATATAAAAAACAGCAACAACGAAATAAATAGTAACAATAGCACTAAAAATGATAATCTCACAACAAAAAACAAGAATAGATTATGAAGACAACTTAAAAATTGTTTTTAACACAACTTTTTTATACCATCGAAATAACAAACATCACTTTCGGCAATAAAAGAATTATTCCACCTAAGTAATTATTGTTTAAGTATTCAACATTATTTTTTTTCTTGTCTAAAATGTAAAAGAAAAATGGTAATACATTGCTTAAAATATCAGAAAATTTTATTTCGACACATAGATGAAAGAGTACAAATATCGTTGATTGAGTTAAGAATAGATAATTTGAATATTCATTGATACTTCTTTGACAGGTAAAAATTTGATTCTTAAACAAGATCGTTTTGTTTTGCTTATCAGTTTTGAGAGTTGACACTACCATTGTCAGATCTTGATTTATTTTTTTCTGTCGTTTTTTAAGTGGTTACTAGAGAAAACTCGTTTTAACTGTAGTAGTGGTTATTCTGAATGACACAGAAAACGAGCTATTCGGATAACGCTTAATAATATTTTAAGTTTTTTGAGTCCCTCTCTCTCCTCATTCAGAAAGTCAATCGATCATATACCCCTTTTACTCTCTCCATAATTATCTACCATAATAATTTCAAACAAATAGATTTTTTTATGCGCTATTATTATTATTTCAAAATTCCTTAATATTCCATTTTTTAATTTTTTTCATAATCTTCATTTCCTTTCAATGGAACTAGAACTAATTTGATTCGATGAAGATTTAAATTTTTACATGAAATCTAAAAGAAGTCATAATTGTACATAATCATCGCAACACCACAATCTATCTTAAAACATTTTTTACTAAGTTTGCAGGAAGTACAAACATCCGACACCTCAGTGAAAAGCGATTAAAATCATTTCAAAATTCTAATGTATAGTATCTGCACTATATACTCTGATGTACAGTGAAACAGTTTTAAAAATCCATAGTAAACACTTTGGTATACGGAAATGTTATATAGAACTCTCACGAAAGATAAGAGAATGTGAATCAGATTTCAAAAATGGGAATCATTTCACTTGATGTAGATTTTTACCAAATTTTTTATAATTTTTTCGAAATATATCAAAGAACTATACCTACATCAACATTCATCTTTAGATGTGTTTCTGAATAATCTTATTGGGATTTCTTATTGTTATTAGCATTGTGACTTGTTTTGACAACTCTGCATCAGACTCGCCTTTTGGTCAGAGCTGCAACTGATAACTAGCAACGATATGGATGGCCTTGTTAGAAGTTTGTCAACTGTAGAGAAGATATGGTACTAATGAAACTGACATTTGTCAGCATCCTATACTAATAACCATAGCTAGAATGAGCGGTATTCTTCCTCCTTCTTTATCTTCTTGATAACGTATTATTTGAATAGTTCCAAAGTTATTTTTAGATTTCTCGAATCTGTCATCGATCTTTATTCATTTCTGGAGGATATGTTTGCGTCTTTCTATTCCTCCTTTTTTTTGTCGAATTTCAAATTATCGTAGTTTATACACTTTCGTCATTTCTTTATATGGAATAAGCATACAAATTTGAGATAGAAACACATGTGACTTCCTGCCATTTGAACATCAGACATACTACAGGAACAGGAATTGCTTGTTTTTCTTAAAACTACGATAAAATTTTGTTTTTCATCACTCGAATCTTCTCATTACGTTTTTTTCTATTTTTCTTCATAAAATAAAAAATAAAATTAGAATTAGCAATCAGTAAAAGTTGAGCAATCTAACTTTGTTTTATTTTTTATTTTTTGAAAAAAAAAAGAGAAAAGAAAATCAATTACAATTCATGTTGTTGTTTTTATTTCTATCTCTCTCCTTTTCTTATACCAGCAGCACGGATCGGAAGTAAAGTGATTTTAATCATCTTTTTCTTCCATTTTTTTTCTTTCGCAATAATTTTTATCTGTTTTCCTTCTGTATGTGTGTGTGTGTGCATATATATATGCATGTCTATTTGCTAAGAAAAAATATATACACAGCATTTTTTTTCGGCCCTTCTCCTTTAGTAAACCATTAATATTAGTATCTCTTTCGTGACCATCTTCTCAAGAAGACTGTGGGGTAAGCATTTCTTAGTATTTATTTTTCTAATATAGGTCATTTTCTTCGATATTGTTTGTAGAACATGATATATTGTTTAAAAATGAGAAAATCTTTCTTCAGATTGAATTAGTTTCTATCAATTAAATACATAATTAGATGAGAATCGAAGTTGGATGATTATGTGCATGAAACCGGAAATTATTTTTTTCTTCTCCATCGTAATGTTTAAAACGAACGGCAGACTATAATATAAAGAAAAAGACCCGATACCAATTCCATTAGTATATCGGAGATTATTATTGACGAGATTTTCTCATATAATTATGTACGAATCTATCAGAGAAAATCAATCTCTTTTTTGGAATGTTTTTCTATCATAACCTACTTCATAAGATCATTATCACGGATAAAAATAAGTATTCGGTGATCTGTTTAATTGGTATTGACAAATCATATACCTATCCTAGTATTATTATTATCATTATTTAAATTAATTTTGAGCTAAGAGATGATTCAACACTGTCAAAATGACATAATCGTGTCAAAAGTAATAAGAATAACAGTTTTTCTTCTTCATCTTGCCATTCTTTTAAGTATTATCACTGCAGGCAATAAAGAAAAACTTTCTTTGTTTGTTGTCTCCCTATGGTATACTAAAAAAAAGAACACCTACTACTAATCATAATGTGTCATCTACATATAGCATAGACAATATCACCACACTATCAAAAAAAAAAAGAATAAAAGAAGAGCGTCTAATGATGCAAGAAAATAAGGATTTCGAATTTACGTATATCGATGATGTTGATAAATGAAGTTGTTAGAGATGGATGATGAAAATTGATTTAGGACATGAAATAATTTATTGCTGTGCAGTCATCAGGTAGTTAGTACTTAAAAATCTTTCTTCAAGCTATCACAATTTTTATCTATACAAAAAATAGATGAAAAGTTGTAAGTAAAATTAATTAAGAGGCTAATAGATTTAAAACTTGTTAGAATGAAAAGAAAAAACTAACTATTATTCAGTCAAAATTTTTATTTATTAAGATATACTAGATAATAAAAAAAAAAGTCTTAAACAGTTTCAATTATGTATTAAAACTTAGAATAGTTTATTCAGAAAAGTGTGATGTTTATCTGAAAAGGTTTTGGTATAACTCGTTTAGACAATATTTATGTGTTAAACATAGACTAGACGAACTATCAACTTTGTCAAATGAATTAACGAAATAATTAATGCAAATAAACACAATTAGATATATGTAGATCAAACATATATATCGACGGATTGTTAATATTTTGTTTTTTTGTTGGTTTTTACTTTGTTTTATTATATATAAACAATCAATTCGTTCTTTTTCTTTCTTTTGTGATATAAAAATTATGGTCTGCCATATGTTAGTGGTACAAATCAAAAGAACGTACGAAGAGCTGAGTCCTTCTCTGATATCTTTAAAAGTTCATAATACCTTAGTAGCATACTATTACACACTAAATGCTTTTATTCTGAATAACAGAATACTGTTCGTCGTTCTTGCGTTGAGTATATATATATATATATATATATATATATACTCATATACTCTCGTCGATTATATTTAGCTAATAAACTTTCTTAATGATTTTGTTCTACTATATCGTGTGATTAATTCCTTGTTTCCTTTTATTATTTGTTATTATAAATGAATCTTCTCATTAACATTATTATCGAATATGATCATTATCGTCAAGAAAAAAAATAAGAAAGCTAAGCTAACATCGTCTCTTTTAATAGAAGACAAATCTTTATTATTTTCTTCTTTGTAGAGTGTGATAATAATAACTGATTTTTTACTCAGAAACACTTAATAAACAAGTTTTCGTGCTAAATAAATCTTTTTATATCTTCCTTTTTTAATTTTAGCACGGAATCAGAAAAATACACATGTACGCGATGTAGTAATTGTGTTTTGATTTAAAGTTGAGAATGAAGAACGAGAACGAGAAAAACATCATTTTTTACCTCTTATTTTTTTTGTAAGAGAAAATAATTAGGTATTTATATGATATTTTACGAACGATGAGACTTTCAGATTTTTTTTAAATATTTTAATATAAAATTCTACACATGCTCGATGGCTACAATAAAGTATTGTGGGAGCAGTTATAACGATTATTATTTATCTTTTTGTTGATGAAAGAGTAGAGAAACTAAATCATTAGCTCTCAAAGACGTTCATTATCACACATTATTTTTGCATGCGTACAAAAATAATTCTTCTACATAGTTGAGAAAATCCTATTTTATTGTATTATGATGTTATATTCGTTCCAAGAAGTTAGTCGACCTTCTTTTGTGTATGCTGAGAATAGCTGTCATAATTTTATAAACACATTGAATCAAATAAGAAGAAAAGAGAGAGAAAGAAAGAGTTGCAAATTGAAACAGATCTAATAATACAGGAAGTTCTATTCATCGGTTAAAAAACTGTTCTCAGATATATAAAATTTGTTAAGAAGCATTTGCATGAGGCTACAGAAATAGTTTAATTATAAATAAAAAACCGTGTGCGTGTGTTAGAATGACCGAAAGACTAGTTTTTTTCATACAATTACTATGCCAGTATAAGATTGATTATTTTCTTTTAGAGGTGATTCTGATGATATAAAAACAATCTAGTAATTTGTTACAAATATTTTTTATCTAGCTGTCAATGTCTGTTATAGTGCTTATACCTCCCATAGATTATGTCGATTTGAACAAATTATCAATTATGTATGTTAAATTGAATAATGGAAGATGAAGCCTATTTTTTTCCAGCTGGTAATATAAACACTGGAATACAAAAAGAACAGTGTTTTGTAACAACAAATCATTCATACGATTATGATAACAATGCTGTCCCAACAAAAAATTCATCATTAAAATATCGTCGTATTAATAATCCATCAAAATCATCGTCAAATTCAAAAACTTTAAACCATGAGCATGATGGTACATCTCTCTCATCGGATTCGGGTTGTTGGTCAGACGAATTCTTAATGAATTTTTGTGAACCCTGTGATAAAATTGTGATTAATATAAGCGGTTTAAGATTTGAAACACGTTCATCAACATTAAATCGTTATCCATCGACACTGTTAGGTAATACAAATAGACGTTCAATGTATTTTGATTTTCATTCGAATGAATATTTTTTTGAACGACATCGTAGTTCATTTGAATCCGTCTTATATTTTTATCAATCACAAGGAAGATTAATACGACCGGATAATGTACCATCAGAAATATTTTTAGAAGAAATTAAATTTTTTGATCTTGGTATGTATAATTATATGTGTAAATTCTTTTAAATTAGTACTAAACTTGAAAAATATCTACAAACTTCTCAAGTGAATAATCAGAACTTGTAATTGTGAAAGTTTTCTTCTAGGTGAAGAAGTTTTAAAGCGTTATCGTAAACAAGAAGGCTATATTGAAGAAAAACAAATTGAACGACCTAGTAATCGTTATCAACATGCTATTTGGCAAGTTTTTGAATGCCCAGAATCATCACATTTAGCTCGTATTGTAGCTATAATTAGCATTGTTATGATTACTGTTTCAATAGCTACATTTATCATAGAAACATTACCTTTTATAAGAAATGATCATATTGTGACGCCTATAAGAAATACAACATTAAATCCAAACAACGAACCTGCAATTGTTCAATCAGAAACACGTTATTTTTGGATATTTTTTGGTATAGAAACAGTTTGCGTTACATGGTTTTGTTTCGAAGTCATATGTCGATTTCTCGTTGCGCCGTCAAAAATAGCATTTCTTAAAAATGCTCCTAATATCATTGACATTGTATCGATTATACCCTATTTTCTTCAATTAGTCGGTTTAATTTATCAGAAAAAAGACAGTAGCGTATCCGGATTTTCTTCAACGTTAACCGTTCTGAGAATAGTGCGGTTGGTTCGAGTATTTCGCATATTCAAATTGTCAAGGCATTTTAAGGTAACTAGCGAAATTTAAGAGAAATTATACATTACCATTCCTTCTACTACATAATTATGAAGCTTTCTTTTTTGTTTGTCTAGGGTCTACAAGTGTTGGCACTCACATTTTTGGCATCATGGAAAGAACTATTACTGTTGATGTTTTTCCTTTTCATTATTGTTATTGTGTTTTCAAGTTTTATGTATTTTTGTGAATCTGATTATAGTGGAGTTTCAAATAAGTCACAACAGGCTGGTTCAACGTCGGTTAATCCAGATCAACCACCAAATCAATTTTTATCTATTCCACATTCATTTTGGTTTGCAATTATCACAATGACAACAGTTGGCTACGGTAAGTATATAGGCAGATACTTCGATTACTTGAAAATCTGATGAAGCGATGATGATCGAAATATAACCCTATAACAAGTCGACACGAATAATAATGGTCTAATAGTCTAACAATAATCTTCATTATTTTTAGGCGATATTGTACCTCGAACGAATATCGGCAAAGTGATAGGCGCAGCATGGTAAGGGTGTAACAAAAAGCTGCACAAAATGAGATTGTTTGATGAACATTTATTCTACTTTGTAGTGCACTGACCGGTGTCTTAACTATCGCGTTGCCGGTTCCTATCATTGTTTCTAACTTCACCTATTTCTATCAACGACAATTGGAAGACAATGAAAGACAGTACCAGGCGAAAAAAGGACCGCTGCAAGCAAATGTAAAAAAACTTGGTTTTTCGGAGAGAGAAAAGGGTCCGGAATTAAATGAATGGGAATTAGCCGCTGAACCAGATTATCATGATTACCGTGAAATAACACACGCTGTCACGAAAAAACTTGTTCGAAATTCTTATTTTAAAGCATTTCGTGGTTCAAAACGACTCACACAATCATCAGCGATAAATAGTCCTAGCCATAATTATCAGACATTAAATCAAACAACATTTGCTTCACCACCAAACAATGGTTCAAATGCCTATATACATCATCACCATCAACACCACCCATTTCAGGGTGTCAACCGCTCAGCAGCAGCCGTACCAACAGATAACAGACTAAATCACTATCCAATTTATGAGAAGAGTGCCTTAGAGACAACACGTCTTTTGAGGTAGCAATATTTATCGTCGTTGTTTTCTATATATGTATACATGTTTCTCAACAAGTTTTATTTTGATATGTTTAAAAAATTCTTTTGTAGATCAATTTGTCCATATACTATGTGTGATGTACGAATAATCAGTATATACTCTTCCATTTTATCTGTAATTATATGTGTGTGTTAGCTCAACCGTATTCTTTACTTTCAAATAAAAGTAGAAAATGAAAATGTTTAAACATGACATTAATACAATTTTAAAATTAAACTATGCAATCCAGAACTTATCGGTGAAACACGCGAAGTTTTCTAAATACAGAGATATTTGAGAAACAAAGAATTATAACAAGTTTCTTCTTTCAATTTCTGGATCAGGCTTTAATCCTAGTGAACGTACTTGATAAGTAATTGGAAAAATTGGCAAATTATATTTTAAAAATTCTTAGTTGCCATGTACTTTACAAGTACTCTTTCAAGGTTATAACACTTGATTTTATTGCTGCGAAGAATACTTTGTCAAGAGAAAATCAAGTACTTGCCAGTAACTAAATTTATTT